TTCNGATTAAAAGCGGATCATTATCTGGTCTTAATCCGGTTTATTATCAATTTAATTGGTTAAGAAGTTAAGTGAAAACAGTGAACCATCGTTAACCAAATTCTATGGGTTCTGTGCTTTTGAACTTTTTTTTGGGGGCTATATAAACATTCAACGTTTATTTCATGGGTATATAGACTGGGAACTCTTGTTTCGTAGACAAATAGATAGAGGGAAAGTTTCGGGCTATATATATGATTCTGTGATAGTTCTCATGGGGATACAGACTGTCAACCCAAAATCTTAAGGAAACGATATTTTTCTTAAGTTCTAAACATAACTGTTAGGTCATGTATTTATCTATGTTATTGGTTCCAATTGGTTACCTAGTTTGAGAAAATTGAGTGATTCAACCAATCGTTTATTATCAGTTGTACTAACATTTGAAATGATCAGTTGAAACGGACGGTTGAAATCGATAATTGAATAAGAGTTTAGCTATTCAAATGAGGCGGTTGTGAACTGCCAAAAAATAGGTGATTTTACAACCATTCTGTTTCTGAAACGGACGTTTGGATTTATAAAAAAAAAATCATTTAAGAAAATATATAAAATCAAACTAAAATTTTAACAATCATTATTTATATTTTAAATATATTTTGATAAGCTAAAAATTATATTTGGTTTACTTAATTCACACTCAATGATTATTATTACCATTATTCTATATCACCCACTTTTGAAACTTCGTAACCACTAACCACCATAGCTACAATTCGGTTGCTTACTCTAGAGTTAAAGCTCATTTAACCCTTTATTTCGTTTCCATCATCTAACGGTTAGATTAGTTTTTTTTTGTTTCTCTTTTATGTGTTAGATTTGTGGATAACTAAGCTCAAACAAAAAAAAGGTATAAAATATATAAGAAATAAAGCAATTAATCATACAAAGAAAACTTCTTTTTTGGCGACTCCTCCAACCTCTTAATGAGAAAGAAAAATCTTTAAGACCCTAAAGTTGTGGTTTTAGGTTTTTCTCTTTTCTATATTTTATTTAAATCATGTAATATCTCTTTTTTTCATTTAAATTATTTTCCTTATCCTTTAAATACAACTTCATTCCTCCAATG